TGTCCCGTCGAGACCACCCTTTCAGAGTCTTGTCCCGTCCAAGATGGCCGAGCCCTCGTCCAACATTTCCGCCACGACTGAGACCTCGTCCAAGATGGCTGCCGCCACGCCTGAAACCTCGTCCAACCTTGTCCTGCGCCTGAATCTCCAGTCTCCGTCCTCGTCCCGAGTTCATAAATGACTCCACAATTCGTCCTCTACCAGAGCCCAGTAGTGACTCTAGTCTCCGTCCTCATCCAGAGTCCCGTGGGAGCTCCAGTGTCTGTCCCCGTCCAGAGCCTATTACAGCGATGTCCGGAGCTCCCCAAGAAAATTTGGGGCATATACCCGAACTGCTGGCTCTGAACGGGTCTCCCCAACTGCCGGCTCCACCCTGGTCTCCTGAACTGTCGGCTCTGCACGGGTCTCCTGAGCTGCCGGTTCCACCCTGGTCTCCCGAAGGGCCGTCTCCACCCTGGCCGCCTGAACCAGCACCACCCCGGAGGCTTCCTGCTCCATAAAGGCCACGCACTCATCAGCCTCCAGGGCGCCTTCTGGGAGGGGGGGCTTCTGTCACAGATCAGCCTAGTCACCAATCCTCTTCACTACACTTCCCAGCATCCATCCTGGTCCCCAGCTGCACAACATTTCCAATCACTCACACCTGCACCTCATCATCACCCTCATTACTGCCTCTACTTATACACACTCTTCACCCCAGCTCACAGTCTGGTCTCGATTTTCATCACAGCAGACGATCTCCCTGTCTCCAGCGTCTCCCTCAAGATCACCCTTTGGACCCTCACTTACCTGCTTACCTCATCACTGCACCTTTATATTGTAAATAAACACCCTGTCACCATCCATTTTCCTCTCCTGAGTCTGCCTACCGTAACACCTATAGTGTCTTAGTGTTGTAAGTAAATTTATTGATCAAATTTTAGAATTTAAAATGAAAGATGAACCATATATTTAATAAGATCAGGAAAAAAATGCCCTTTATAAAGGTTAAATAAAATACCCTTGGGGTAAATATCACAAATATGCAGATTTAAATTTGTCAGTGCAGATAGAACACTGATGAGAATATTTTTTCCGGACAAGCTACTTTATTACTTGGACAAGTGAATGACCTATTTACTAGCTCAAAGGACAAGCACATGACAAGGCTTAGTGTCGAGCCCTGACGTTATGGTGAATGTGTGGTGTATTTTAATTTTGAAAGGTTGTAATTGCAATTGCATTGACCAGCAAAAAATGTCTTATTTTGTTTTCCCTGGAAGAAAGGAAGAGATATGGATTTAGAACAACATGAGGGTGATGAAAAGAACTGTCATTGTTGGACGAGTTAGTCCTTTAAGAGTTAAGAATCACTAGCTATCGGTTTGCAGGCCGACATCTTGCCAGAGAAGTAGTTTAAGGTCTATGCCTCATGTGCAGAGTGTTTTCATGAGCTTAGCTAACAAAGGGCTCTGATGATGTCATGAGAGGATAAGGGTGAGATGACCTTCTCTAGAATCTTAAAGCAGCCCATTTTAAAATCCTCATCTTAGGTTTACAGAGGGAGAACACATGATGGACATTTATTATTTGCATTAGGCTAAAAACAAAAAAAAACAAGACATTGTTTTTAAATACCAAAACCCATTTAATTCTACTGGTTAATCTTGATAAATAAGACACCATAGATGAAAATATACAGGTGACAGAACTGCAGTGGTGGAATGTAACGAAGTACAAATACTTCGTTACTTTACTTAAGTACATTTTTCACATATCTTTACTTTACTTAAATAGAATCAATAGTGCATACTTATTACTTTTACTTCGTTACATTTTGCAGCAATTATTATACTTTCTACTCCACTACATTTCTACAACGTTCTGTTACATTTTCGTTACATTTTCTGATCAGTTTTCCCCTGCCAAAACGTCATCCTGACCGTCCGTTCGTCGCACGTTTGTCTCACCAGTGAAGTTTGGTTGCCATATCAACCCGGTCACACTAAATGCGTCTCTATAGCACACAGTGTGTTTATCGTGCAATTTATACGCGGAAATTTTTTTTTTACGTGCATAGGACACGCATGGGTAGGTTTAGTAGTGGTGTGGGGTGCGTGTAGCCTATTATACGTTTCGTTAGGATTAGTATGGCAAGCCAAGAGGTTCAGAATTACGCCATAAATGAATCGCGTTTACAGCCAAACCCCGTCAAATTAAGCTTGATGTGTATATTGCCTAATTGCAAGCTTGTTCAGAAATGGTAAAAAAAATAAAAAAATAACGGCTTTTCCATCATTATTGAACATCATTATAGGATTATTAGGTTGAATGAGTTAGTTATGAACTATATGCTCTTCTCCACTGATTATCTAAGCTGTTCAAAGCGTTTCTGAAGCCAGGCGTGGCACAAGTGTTTTTTGCTAGTTTCAGCCCGACGCAGTTATCATTTTCACGTCCTGCGCCACGTTGTTTAAATAGCAAATGCATTTGGTCCATTTGTGCACCCATGGGCGTGCTGGTCTGAAAACGAGATGTGTTTAGGCGCATTGTTGGCGCGTTGCTATTTAGAGGCAACTGAAATAGACAGCAATACTTTTTTGTTATTTAAAGAGTGTGTTAGTAATGTGCGCCTATAGGCAGGTCCACAACAACCCATGACCTTGGCGTTGTAAGCGCCAACGCTCTACTGTTTGAGCTACAGGAAAGCTTCCTGTAAGATTTACTTACCTTCTTTGTATTCCCAAGGATAGATTAATTTTCTTTAAAAAGACATTAAAGGGATAGTTCACCCAAAAATGAAAATCATTTACTCACCCTCAAGCTGAACACAAAAGAAGATATTTTGAAAAATGTCGGTAACCAAATAGTATTTTTGGTTAGTATTTTTTTTCCATACTATGGAAGTTAATGGGGCCTATCAACTGTTACAAAGTCCTATTGTTACGTTTTCCCAGTTTTGTGTATCTTATAGGATTATTAGGTTGAATGAGTTAGGATTAACTGTTTTATTAATCATTAGAATATAGACATTAAGAGAATAAATTGTTATGCAAGTACTTTTACTTTTAATACTTAAAGTACATTTAAAATCAGGTACTTTTTACTTAAGTAGGGTTGTCATTGTGATACTTCTACTTTCACTAAAGTAAATATGTCTCTGGTTAATTGTACTTTTACTTAAGTACTGAGATTCAGTACTTCCTCCACCACTGCACTGTCACTGTCCCGTTTGGGCCAGTGCTGTGTTATCATGAAATTTTATTTGTTTTTAAGCCTTGTCAATTTAAACATTCAAGAGCAAGACGATGCGAAAGAGAACTCAACTGTGTGAGAAGTTTTGTATGCGCACACATTTAGAGCTGCATCTGACAGCACGCAAATACTGAATTGAGTTCTCTTTTACGTCTTCTTGCAGTTGAATCGACAATTTCACACAAAATTATGTCAAAATGCCCGTCCTGGCAAGTATCCTAGTAAGCATAGTTGGTAATGTCTAAAAGTCCCCCTGTGGTGAAAATCTAGTTTTTTAATGTTATTTATATGTCTATGTGGTGTTTTAATATGCTTTAAGACAAACCATGTGCAAATTTATTTGCAAATATATTTTTCTGTTGATATGAAAAATCAGGCAGATTTAGCAATATAGCAGGTGTATGATGTATATTACGATGTTATTATGAACTATATGCTCTTCTCCACTGATTATCTAAGCTGTTCAAAGCGTTTCTGAAGCCAGGCGTGGCACAAGTGTTTTTTGCTAGTTTCAGCCCGACGCAGTTATCATTTTCACGTCCTGCGCCACGTTGTTTAAATAGCAAATGCATTTGGTCCATTTGTGCACCCATGGGCGTGCTGGTCTGAAAACGAGATGTGTTTAGGCGCATTGTTGGCGCGTAGCTATTTAGAGGCAACTGAAATAGACAGCAATACTTTTTTGTTATTTAAAGAGTGTGTTAGTAATGTGCGCCTATAGGCAGGTCCACAACAACCCATGACCTTGGCGTTGTAAGCGCCAACGCTCTACTGTTTGAGCTACAGGAAAGCTTCCTGTAAGATTTACTTACCTTCTTTGTATTCCCAAGGATAGATTAATTTTCTTTAAAAAGACATTAAAGGGATAGTTCACCCAAAAATGAAAATCATTTACTCACCCTCAAGCTGAACACAAAAGAAGATATTTTGAAAAATGTCGGTAACCAAATAGTATTTTTGGTTAGTATTTTTTTTCCATACTATGGAAGTTAATGGGGCCTATCAACTGTTACAAAGTCCTATTGTTACGTTTTCCCAGTTTTGTGTATCTTGTGTTTAATTATTTACACTTTTAAGTTGCATTCTGGCCTGTTCTTTTTTGGTTTCCTGTGCCATATTTTCTAACCATTTTATGTATTTTCCTTTATGATTAGTTCCCTGATTGTGTCCAGGTGTGTCTTGTTAGTCTATAACCTGTGTATATATAAACCTCTGTTTTTCCTGTGTTCATTGACAGGTCTTGTTTTGTTGGTGAGCTCAGTCTTGTTTTGTTTATTTGTTCCTGAAGTTCCCTAGTGTCTGTTCCTTTGTTTATTTTGGTTCTTTCATATATTTAATAAAATGAAAGAACCAAATCCTGCTCTCCTGCGCTCACTCATCTCTGAGTTCACCAGCATTACACATATACATTTTTTCAGATTTTCATTTAATTTGTTTTGCTGCAATTCAAAGTTTGTAATGTCACAGCTTCTTTGTGATTCATCTTAGAGCTGGTTGGTTTGGTTCTTGTGGTTCAATTTCAATGTGGTTTTGCATTCATAGCAATCAGTTAAACTGTGTAACTGCTTATGTATGGTAAGTTTTACATCCCTGTAAGCTACAATATTAACAGAGCAGAGAATTAATTTACAGGTTTGTACAGTGCACAAGAGCTTTTATGCAAAAACCTAAAGACCTAAATGACAGCTACTCCAAGGAATTATTATTTAGACTGTGTAAATATTTGTCAGTGGTTATGATTGGTGTATGTGTGTCATTGCTCAAACCTGTGATGCCAGAGGTAAAGTCTGTGTGGAAGCTGATGGGGGAGCTGGAGCTCTGCGTTTCTTTAACTCCACTTTCGGGGACATCTTGGAGATGTTCATCACAGACTGAGACTGACCAAGAGTGCTGGGACGGGTCTCCACACATGGACCTGACATACCCTGAGCATAAAATAAAGAGAGACACTTTAATAGCTATACAAATACACATTTAAGAACATGTTTAAAAAACATATATAAAAATAGCACTATGTCTATAAATATAAGTGCAAAGTAGAGAAAGTAGAGACTAGCTTAGTGCGAATGACAAGGTGTACACATTGAAGGTGCATTGTACAGAGAAATTGGGTATTGTTGTAGGCAGTGAATCCTAAATTATGTTGTAGGCAGTGCATCCTGAATTTAAAAGGGCAGCAAGTTTAACAGAGGACAGCAAATCAATAACATTAGGGCTGGAAATGTCACGACCTGCTCCTGGAGTGTGGCTGAGTTCTGAGGGCTTTACCCTGGCCATGACCCCACGTTTACACACCATTAAACAGCTGCCCTGAGAAGACGGTTAACAGGGAGGGACTCAAGACATAAACTAAACTACAACAGCTGCTGACATCTTCTGATTAAGTTTTACACTAGTGAATTTCTAGAAGCAAAAAACAAACAAAAAACAGACATTAAAAGCGTAATTTTTAATGGGCAATGGAATTTTTGGTTAGTACACGTTTTAGCTCGTATTACATAATCAAAAGATAAAATTTTGCTGTCACTTTTTATTTTATAAATTTATCTTAAAACATTGCAGACCAGTGGCGGTTCTAGCTTTTTATAGCGCCCTGGGCGAACCACCCCCACTCCCACCCCAAACCCCACAAAATCACAAAAAGAGATAAATGGGTGAGACAAAATAAAAATAAAAAACCTACAATGCAGAAAACACACAGAAATTAAGTAGTGACACTTTAACACATCCACAATGGAGAAAAAATTAAAACACATGTTCAGGTTTGACTGTAATATTGTGACATAACAGCAAATACAAGATACTTCAGTACAAAAAAAGCTTTGAAACATTGACAAAGAGTATTTTATTTTTATAATAATGATTTAATAATGTCAAAAAATAAATTAAAAAAATGAAAAACTTTGTCTCGCTGCTACCACCCAGCTCCAAGTCTCCTTCGTCGCCGCTGGTCCTGTCCAGTTCCAAGTCTTCTTCGTTGTTCTGCTCTGCCTACACCTTGGATTCCAGGGCCTTTTGGCTGGCCTCGTTCCTCCACCTCTCCGGCTCAATAGCTTGTTTTCATATGACGTCACGCCACTGCGTTGCCATGGCGCGAAATGCAAATGGAGGGCAGGAAGTGATTTGCTGTATTTAGAAAGCACTATAACAAACTCAAAATGCCTATGTTTTGCGTCGTTTATGGTTACTTAAATCGATCAAACCACGAGGAGTTTTTATCGTGTACCAAAAGTTGTTGTTCATAAGGGGGGAAATGCAAGAAATTGACCGAAAAACTCCGGAAAAACGCCTTGCAAACTGTACCTACGTCTGCGGTCGGGAGGAGCCGAATGAGAAAATGCCCGTGTGTGCAGTGATCACTTTGTCAAAGGTGAGTTAATACAACTTAAGTGGCTGTGTTTGTGTAACGTGTAAGTTAACGTGTAACGTTTCCGAACTTTGTAAAGTCAAAGTATGTCTGTAAGACGAGGTAGTTGCTGATATCTACCGCCTCGATGGCAGGAAAATCTTTCAATTCAGTTGAAAAATCGCTCCTCTTCATAACATAAGGATCACGTCCAACATATGTTAGATTTTTTGTTTATATCTTTCTCTTGTGATAGCGTGTAAAGTAGTACAGTACGGACTTTCCTCCATCTCGTCCATTGCGCTCTTCACTCCCTGCCCTCCATCTGAATTTCGCGCGTCATCATAATCACGTGACTGAAACCCAGCTATTGGGCTCCTTCTCCCCTCCGGCACCCTGGCTCTACCTCGTCACCGTGGCTCCGCCTTGGCCTCAAGGTCCTTCGGTGTCACCCGGAGGATCCAACTCTCTTGGATCCACCTCTGTCGGGCAGTTTCCTGGCTCTACAGTGGCTCCTCCCTTCATTGGTTCCGCCGTGGACCTCTGCTGGGTCTTCATCTGGCTCCTCCCTCTATCATCTCCTCTCTGGCTCCTCCCTCCATTGTCTCCTCTGTGGTGGACAACCCACCCCCCACCGTGAGCACACACCTTCTGGGAGGGGGTGTAATGTATGGGTTGTTTAGTTTCATTGTGTTTTAATTTGGTTTTGTTCTGTTCCTGTTTGCCTGAGTTCCCAGTCATTGTTAGTTGCCATGGTTTCTGGTTTGAGTTACGCACCTGTCCCAAGTTATATTGATTAGTCCCTTTGTGTATTTAAAACCTCCGTTTTCCTCAGTCCTTTGTTCCGCATTAATGTTATGTTCATGTGTGATGTGTAATGCTATTGCCCTTTGGGTTTATTAAAAGTCTATTTCCTTCATTCATTCTGAGTCACACGTTTCTCTGGTGGATTTACTACACACTCGACGTAACACCATCCTACTTTTTTTCCCAATAATCCATTACACACTCCATATATTTAACAATGCAGAAGATACAGTACATTGCTATTTCCATATCATTGCGACTTTAATTTCTGAAGTTTGTCCAACCTGGAAGAGACAGCAAGCCATTCTTCCACTCCTGAAGGAGGTTTAACACCGTGGTTCTTTCACCGTGGATTTTTTGTTTGTTTGAGTGGTACAACATTCAACTACTGGCTAAATCAATGGTGTGAGATTGAGGTGTGACTACCTGTTTAGTAAAAAAAAATTGGACGGGAAAGGGTGGTAAAAAATGTCTGAGAAATCTGTTTAAAAGCAAACATTATTTTTGCAATTTGGTTTCTTGCTGCTAATGTCACAAATTACACTCTTTACCTTACAAAAAAAAAGTAGAAAAGCAGGGATATGCATTAACATACACACACAGAGGTGTGAAAAGGACGAGGGGATGTTCCTTTAAGAGAGAGCAGAGAGATCTGGCAAAAACTGAGGAACGAGACTGGATCTTCTAGAACCTTGCATGAGTGCTCAGCTGTTGGTTGGAACGAGAGAGAGAGAGAGAGAGAGAGAGAGAGAGAGAGAGAGAGAGAGAGAGAGAGAGAGAGAGAGAGAGAGAGAGAGAGAGAGAGAGAGAGAGAGAGAGAGAGAGAGAGAGAGAGAGAGAGAGAAGGTATGCAGTCTTACAGCTTGACTTGAGAAGAAAGACTAACAAACAGACATATGATCTAAACTAGACATAACACTAGGCACAAATACACACACCAACAAAAACAAACACATGGAAAAAGCACAGAGACAAAATAATCACAGCTCTCCTATCATGGCCACATGCTTTCATTAGACGCCACAACCTCCCAGTAAAAGTTTGGCGTTCTCTCTAACTTTGTCTCACCCTTCTCTGCCCTTAGAACGGAATGTTCAAAGTGGGAATGGCTATTAGTGGGTTATATAATCGGAAATAAGTTACTGCGACGTGTTGAAAATGGCTCTTGGCAGCACTGTCTGTGATATTGTAAATAGTGTGCACCTGAACTGGTGTAATTACAGGGGGGAACATCGAGAGCAGGGAAGAGCCCTTCATAAAATATGGTGATAGAATTAAAATAACTGACATATTAATGATGAATTATGGACGTCCGGGTGTGTCTGAGTGTCATCAAAAACACAGTGTGTTTCTCAGAGAAAAGAAAAAAGATGTACGGAGCACTGTGGGTGTAGAGATAAAATCTCTGGAAGATCAAGTGTGTGAGTTTACCTTCTTAACCATTATATCGGACACACATTTGTACCTAGAAGTGAACTGAATTTAATAAAACCTCCTTTTGGGGATGTCCTCGTTTGTAAAAAATGGTATTAAAAATAAATTGATTATTATTATTATTTACAGTAAATGCATAAAGTTTTCAGTTGGGGTTAGACTGTTTATAACTAGCTTATATAACAATAATAGTCTTATAGTCAAGCTTTCACAATTCAGATAAAAGAGAGAGAGAGAGAGAGAGAGAGAGAGAGAGAGAGAGGGGGGGGTGTTGTGATTATACTTGTGAGGGCCAAATGTGAAATATTATACCAACCTACTAGTGAAGACATTTTACTGCCCATTTTACTAGTGTTTTGCTATCACGTTTCTGTGATGTGTATGTTTAGGGGTAGGGGTTAGGTTAGGTCATAGAAAATATCATTAACCTGATATAAAATTAATGGAAGTGTCTATGCAATGTCCTGACTAATACAGTGCAACAAACGTGTGTGTGTTTGTGTACATTTAAATAATGCCACAAAAGGGTCATCCAAGAAGCAATAAAAGTACCAGCAAATAACTGAGATCACACGTTTGCCCAAGTGATCACTGACACCTAGTGGTGATACCTGAAAATAAATACATTGGATAGTGGAGATTTCTGAAACGCACTGTAATTTCTATTGAAAAAAATAATAATTAAGGACACAAATTTTCATTAATTTAGATTTATTATCTTATTGTATGTTTTTGTATATAATTATTATTGTTATATAATAAATTATTATATATTCATGATCATGAATATATTATTTATGGTTTCTAAATTTCTATTTGGAACTTCTAAAACAAATTCCATTACTATTATGTACATTTCATTTTAAAAATATTAAGGACAAGTGTTCATTTATATTGTTTTATTATTTTTTGTTGTTATTAAAATGTATTATTAAAAATTCATGAATGTTATGTATTTATTAATCAGCATCCAGAACCATTCTTTTTCATAATTAAAAAATATATAATTCATTGATGCAATAAAAGTTGATATCCAATCAAATGAACCACAACAAATGTGGTGCAATTTGCTCTGAAAAGAACTAATAAACAACAAAAATGTAGAAGAATTAACCTTCAGACAGTATAATTGTGTTAAAGTTTGAAAACTGACAGACAGAGAGATTAATTAGAGAGTGAATTAGTAAGGGATACTGGAGGTCATGGGTTAGTACTTACATTAATGTTAGTATCTGCATTGTCAACAACACAATCATCATCAAGACTGTCCATGTCCTCAGAGGACTGATCTTCAGTCTGAAATGGGAATGTAACACTAGCATGGCAAGAAGACTCACAATATCCATGAAAACGTCTCAGGTTACGTATGTAACCCTGGTTCCCTGAGAGGGAACGAGACGCTGCGTTTAAGACGCGGTGGGAACGCTCTGCGTGATTGCGTCATGAAGCACGTGTAAAATCAGTCCAATGGAAGCCCGATACGTCATGGGTGACGTCATAGACCAGGAAACTATAAATCACCCTTGAAAACAGACCGCGACAGCTTCTGAAAAAGTCTGAAGCAAGTCGATCAGGGCATGCAGGAAGTATGGCAGGCAAACGCAGCGTCTCGTTCCCTCTCAGGGAACCAGGGTTACATACGTAACCTGAAACGTTCCCTTTCAAGGGAACTTCGAGCTGCGTTTGAGACGCGGTGGGAACCCCATACCCACTACGCCATAGTGACAAATGCCCGTTCTGTGTGAAGTCCTTGCGCACACTAAGAAGCAAGCAACCTCGCCCCAGGAGTGGAGAGGTCAAGGTCATAAAACCTGACAAATGTATGTGGAGAGGACCAACCTGCCGCATTACAAATGTCAAGAAGGGAAACACCCGAAATTAAGGCCGTAGAGGCCGCCATACTCCTTGTAGAATGGGCCCGTACAGCCATAGGTGAAGGCTGACCGGCCGCTTCATAAGCCAATGATATAGCCTCAACTATCCATTTGCTCATAACCTGTTTAGATGCAGGGCACCCTCTTCTGAGTGACCCAAAACATACAAATAACTGCTCTGACTTACGCCACAGGGCAGCTCTGTGAACGTAGGCATCCAATGCCCGAACTGGACATAACAGGTTCAGTTGTTCCTGATCTGGGGTATTAAAAGGTGGAGGATAAAAGGCCTGCAACACTATTGGGCCCCTAACATTAACTGGGACCTTAGGAATATAACCCGGTCTAGGGTATAGAAATGCTTTCACCATACCAGGTGCAAATTCCAGACATGACGGAGCAACCGACAGGGCATGCAAATCTCCAATTCTCTTGATAGATGAAATAGCAAGGAGAAATAAAGCTTTCAAAGTGAGGAATTTTTCTGAAACCTCTTCAATAGGCTCGAAGGGAGCCAGAGCCAGACCCTCAAGTACAATGGCTAAATCCCAAGCCGGTGCTCTAGAGTGCAGTGCAGGTCTCAACCTCAATGTACCACGGAGAAAACGAGTAATCAGAGGATCTCTCCCAAAAGAAGTACCCCCCAGAGGGGTATGATAGGCCGAAATAGCCACATAAACTTTTAAGGTGGAAGGAGATAATCCAGCAGAGAAACGGTCTTGCAGAAAATCGAGAACTGAACCAACAGGGCAGTTAACAGGATCTAACTGACGCTCACCACACCAGGTGGAGAATAATTTCCATTTCAGTGCATACAGTCTTCTCGTGGAAGGAGCTCTGGAATGGAGAATGTCTCAACGACCTCAGTCGAGAGACTGGATTCTATGAGCCTGGCCCCCTCAGAGGCCAGGCCCACAGTTTCCACAACTCCGGTCGAGGGTGAAATATCGTGCCCCCTGCCTGGGACAGCAGGTCCCTCCTGAACGGAATCTCCATGGGAGAGCCGTCCAGAAGAGACAAAGTCCGAGAACCAAACTCGAGTCGGCCAGTACGGGGCTACTAGTAGCAGATGAGCCCCTTCCCGGCGAACCCTCTCCAGAACCTCCGGGAGCATAGATATCGGGGGAAATGCGTACAGGTGCAGCCTCGGCCACACCTGCACCATCGCATCCAGTCTGAGAAGAGCTGGCTGCGTGAGGGGGAACCATATAGAGCAATGCGTTGTACAAACGATGTGAAAGGTCGACTTGACTTTAGTTAGACCAAAGTTCTCCCTAAGAAGCTCCACCACCTCGGGGTGAAGTCTCCAATCCCCTGGGCCTCAGCCCCTGCCTCAACAGGATATCTGCTCTGATATACGAGACCATCAGTGTGTTGTCCGCCATTCGCCGAGCAACCACTCATGATCGCCCCCACTTGTGAGGGAAGCATCCGTCGATAGCAATATGCGTCGACAAGAAGCCCCCAACACTGGGCCTGGGCGAGGAACCAAGGTTCTTCCACATGACCGAAGCACGAAGGCATAGCCGCGTGACCTTGATCATGCGAAAACGTATTTCCCCTCGGAGAAAAACCCCTTGGTCCTGAGCCACCACTGCAGGGGTCTCATGAACAGAAGGCCAAAAGTAATACGTTGGACGCAACTGCCATGAGACCCACCCGTCTGAAACTGTTTCACAGTGAGTGACTGGCCTAGATATACCCCATTACGGCTGTAAGAATTGCTACACCTAGAAAAGTGGTCCTCAGAGCACACTCTTCTTGGCGTTGAGAGGCAACTCCAACATCCTTAATGAGACAGAACGACATCTCGATGCCGAACTGCCATAAACTCAGATTGAGCTAGGAACAACCAATCATTGATGTAGTATAATACGCGAATGCCCTGGAGTCTCAGAAGAGCCAGAGCTGCATCCACGCATACTGTAAAGGTGTGGGGTAATAAACCTAGGCCGAATGGAAGAACCCGATAATGGTATGCTTCGCCCCCGAAAGCAAACCTCGGGAACCTCCCTCATCCTCTTTCGGAAACAATGAAGTAATGGCTGTCTGCTGGGAGGAGGAACCCCTTCTACAGCTCCTTTTGCAGAAGTGACAGTACTTCCTGCTCCATAACCAAAGCCTGCTCGGGGTCCATCAATGAGAGGAGGACCCCTAGAAATCTGGGCGAACGAGAACCGAACTGAATTCTGAAACCCTTTTCTATAGTGTGCAGGACCCACTGAGAAATATGTGGCAGTAGTTTCCACGCTGCCAGAAATTTACTAGGGGAACCAGTCTCTCAAGACTGGCCTCTGGATTTGTTTGAACAGTCACTACGGCGCCCTGAAGCGGCGAACCGGCAGGGAACAACCGAACTGACCATTCTACGACCCTCCTCAGAGGATCGTATGGGGATGCTGACACCTCGGTGCCCTGAACGGCGAACCGGCAGGGAACAACCGAACTGGCAGCGCTGCAACCCTCCTCAAAGAGTTGCACCCCAGAGGAAAAACGATTTCTCAAAACCGTCCCTTGGTTGAACAGTCACTACGGTGCCCTGAAGCGGCGAACCGGCAGGGAACAACCGAACTGACCGCTCTACGATCCTCCACGGAGGATCGTATGGCGACGCTGACACCTCGGTGCCCTGAACGGCGAACCGGCAGGGAACAACCGAACTGGCAGCGCTGCGACCCTCCTCAGAGAGTCGCACCCCAGAGGTCGCCGAGGAGAAACGATTTCTCAAAACCGTCCCTGCCCCGGAGGAGCCCTCAGAAGCCTGATAGCCTCGTTTTCTTGCGACAGGACTTCTTGTCTAAGCTTTATTAGAGATGATGACAGTCCTCAGATCTTGCCTACCTCTAACTAGCTTAGTTCCTACGACCCTCCTCGGAGGATCGTTGAAAAAAGCAGGCACTTCGGCGCCCTGAAACGGCGAACCGGCAGGGAAACCGAACTGACTGCTCTTCTTTTTTCTTATTTGAAGGCTCGTTTGGGGACACTGACACCTTGGTGCCCTGAAACGGCGAACCGGCAGGGAAACCGAACTGGCAGTACTGCGACCCTCCTCAGAGAGTCGCACCCCAAAGGGCGCTGAGGAGAAACGATTTCTCAAAACCGTCCCTACCCCAGAGGGGACCACCCTTAGAAGCCTGATCGCCTCGGCGTCAGGGCTTCTTCTTTGTCAAAGCTATTTTAGAGATAAAACAGTCCTCAGATCTTGCATGTCTCTAACTGGCTAGACTGCGACCGCCACCCAGGTACCCCTCAATTGCGGAGGAGCCCGAATGGCGACGCTCTGTTTTGCACTTTGTGCTGAGAGGAGCATAATAGGCCGTCTCAGGAACATTAGATTGGTGAGGAAGAAACCTCTGGAACGCCGCTGAATGGTTTATTTCTTAGTTTTCTTGAAAGCGGAGCGTCCAGAAGAACAGACATAATTATATCTTTATTTTCCTTTATCTTTATATCAGAAAAACTTATATATATATACATATATATCACTCTGCGGCCACCAGCAGGAAACAACCGAACTGGCAGCGCTGCGACCCTCCTCAGAGAGTCGCCCCTCACATTCATCCATGTCCTTATATACTCTACCCACCAGCGCTGCCTAATAAAAATGTATTCATTATTAAGATGGCTGGTGGGTAACGTCGGGGTTAATAACGATAACGCCGACTCGGGAGAGAGAAAGCTCGCAAGCGTCTCTTTAACCCGAGGCAATGTCATACTATGATACTTAATACCCAAACATTACTATAGTCAGACATCTGGGGATTAAACACATAAAATACAAACCGGTTTATTCCACGATCTCGACACCTCAGTGTGGAGATAGGGAAAAACCACAGTCCCCGACGAGGAGGCTGAGATACAGAGTTTTCCTGTTTTAAGATACAGTTCATCTAACAAACTCTTCTTTATTTTCAATCTCATAATGTTCAGCTGGCCAGTAAATATTTAACTGGCAACAGCACTAGATAAAACCTCCTTTTTTTTCTTTAAAAAAGCTCCTCTTTATTCAACAGAGTTATGAGCTGGAAAATTTATTCATTGAAAACTCAAACATCTGCCTTTTTATAAAGATTTGTATTTGTTTTCTTTCTTTTTAAACAAAACACTAACGATACCAATTCCTCGGAACTGGAAATCGCAGCACACTAGATCTGGCATGTGAAAGCTGAGAAAGGGCGGAGCCCGTCCCAACCCCCGCTGTCAGATCCGTTTTCGAACCCCGAAATACGAGCCGTCTCCGAGCCTCGGCAACAGAGAGACCCGCTCGGGGAACGCGAACCGAACCGTCCTCCTCGAAGAACGCCCGGCGGGAGCGGAGCGTCCTCACGGACAGCTTCTCGCAATGCACAGTCAGATCCCTCGAGAAATGACTGTTGCATGCTCCACTCCCAAACAGCAACAAAAAGCTGATGTGTGTCCCCACCCGTGATGTAACGAGGGCAGGGAACAACACAACGTCTACAATATTGCTTTGCTCGCCATAATGATAGATAGTGATATATATATTGGGCTTGACAAACAACAATAAATAGACAAGGACAGAATCACAGAGAGCGCTTGCTGAAGACACCAGAAGCTGTTGCGGTCTGTTTTCAAGGGTGATTTATAGTTTCCTGGTCTATGACGTCACCCATGACGTATCGGGCTTCCATTGGACTGATTTTACACGTGCTTCATGACGCAATCACGCAGAGCGTTCCCACCGCGTCTCAAACGCAGCTCGAAGTTCCCTTGAAAGGGAACCATGCAGGGCAGGATATAGACACTGCAACATCAATTAAACGTTTCATTTTCACTATATTTTGCGATTTGTATTAGTTTCCTCCATCATATCCATGGGTTCAGGTGTTTGGTGCTATTTGTCCAGATAATTTTGGGTTTCTATAGACATGCAGCTTTCAAACATATACAGCACTGTCAAGGTTTAAACAGACAAAAATATGAATGAACGAATGTGTGTGTAAGTATGTGCACATGTGAGCCTGTGTTCTACCTTTGATTTCCTGCGATTAAACTTGAGGAAGCCCAGCAGACCCTTTTTATCTGATCCACTCAAACTGCTGGAGTGAAGAGATTCAGCTGTAAGAGAAACACATTCGTTCAGCATCTTACACACACACAGGAGCTACTATTCTAGAATAATCAAGAATTGAGTCAACAATGCTACTTTTTGTTAAATTTAAGTGGTTAAATTTGAGCTAGCTAATGAGAATAATGGGTTATGGTAGATACAAGATTAGCATATGCAGAATAAATACTAGTGCTTGCACGTCAGCAAAACTGTAATTTAGGATTTAGGCTTTGGTTCTTTGCAAATGAAATGCCACATCAAAGCCACTCAGCTATTCTAATGACTTTCAAATTACATTTTATATAAACTAGCAATCAAAATTTGGGTCAGTAAGATTTATTTATTTATTTTCAAATAAATCACTACTTTTATTCAGCAAGGATGCATTTCAAAAGAGACCGTAAACACATGTATAGTGTTATAAAAGATTTCTTTTTAAAATAAATACTTTTCTTTTGCACTTTCTATTCATCAAAATAATCCTTGGCCAAAACATATCATGGTTTCCACAAAAATATTAAGCACCACAACTGTTTGCAACACTGGTAATAAGAATAAATGTTTCTTGAGTGCCAAAAATCATATGACACTCAAAACTGGAGTAATAGCTGCTGAAAATTCAGCTTTGCCTTAATGGGAATAAATTACATTTTAAAATATAAGCAGGCTTGGTAAGCATAAAAGACTTATTTCAAAAACACACAAAAAAATCTGAATAATCCAAACACACTCACACACACACTGAGTAAAATGGTGTATGTGAAGTGCTGACTTGCAAGCACTGTAATAATGTTTTCCCACCGTGCATCACAAGACACCCAAACACTTCACTCAATGTCCAACATTGTGGCATGTATGAGATAGTACAATTGAATTCAGATATTGTAGTTACTTAACAACTATTTAACATGTATACAGTATTATTAAATGGAACCGGATGTTATAAGCTCCAATGCACTAAAAGCAGTACAAAAGTCTGACATTAGATGGCGCTACACTTCTGCAAAGCCTTTACTTCAACAAATTTAGATGAAGGAACACTAACACAGACACACACTAACAAAACCTAAAGAAGAATCAGCAGGACAGGGAACAGGTTTTCTGAATACAACATAAATGCATTGAGAACATAAGCATGACAGTAACAAAGCATAAAAGATGAATACAAGAACATAGGCACTGCATGTCTTGTTTAGTTTCTATCGAGCAGGTTATTTTAATCATAACAAGCTCAAGAATGTTCTGCGACAGGAAGCAGACACAGCACATTCAACACAGTTTAACTTCATATACTGTAAAGGCACTATGGCGACTATTCAGCCAAAGCTATGTACATCAGTACCTGAGTAGTTCAGGGCAGGGGTCGAAGCCATTTTAGGCTGGAGAACTGAAAACAATCAAACCAGTAGAACATTTGAAACCATTTGAAATTGAATAGATATATATATTTAGCTCAGACAGTGAAATGTCAGAGGCTATTAGAGCCTTTAGGTGCTGTGTGAGGTAAAAACTCTCATGCTGCCTTAACAAAGATACTGTGAGTGGAAACATCTAAGAGTGGGACTGAACAGGAAGAGTTGGACCTGCCAATGAAATATCAACAACCAAATTGTAACCAGTGGTTTCCTAACTGTATATTTTTGTTATTTATTTAAGACAGATTTTCCATTGGACATTAAGGTACGACCCAACACGCTACCTATATAATAAAAATCTAAAATATATAAATTACTACTGTATTTAGCATGGATGTAATACATTTATCAGAAGTGAGAGTTTTGTTTTACATTGTTACAAAAAATGTCTATTTTAAATAAATGCTGTTATTTTGAACTTTTTATTTATCAAAGAATCCAAAAGAAAAAAAAATTGCATCACGGTTTCCACAAAATTAATCTTTCTAAAACTGTGATAATAATTCTACTTAGCTCATTTTAGCATATCTAATGCCCTGTTTACATCTGGTATTAAGAAGTGTTCTTGTCAATCCGATCACAAGTGGACGAGGCTAAATACAGGTGTAAATGGGGTCTGAAACATTTTGAGCTTGTCCACTTTCGACCACTTCCAGAGGTAGTCGAAAGCGCATTCGACCGGATTGCTTTCGCAGTGTAGATGCTCATGTGGTCGAACAGCCACAAAATACCACCTACTTTCCTAATGTGTAAACATTACGGGAAGCGCGCTAGCCAGGTGGGATTTCAACTTTGTCCTTTTGAGCTTAGTTCGTCCATTAAATCGAAAGATCTGAAAAAGGCCATACATTTACCCACCCATTGACCCGTTCCCTCGAACAAATCAAGACCGAAGTGGTAGAAAGTTGACAAGAGACAGATTAAAACACCAGGTGTAAACAGGAATGATTTTACTTAATCTACATCGACCAATACCAAGTGTAAACAGGGCCATGTGACCATGTGTGGTGTCTGGTGTCCTAAATTTTTTATCCCATACCTAGCATCTGATCCAGGACATAGAGTTCCCTGATACCCAACTCGCTCAGGGACTTGTCCAAATCCAGTTGTTGGTGGCTGACATTGTCTCTGAACAGCAGGACATGGGCAGGGTCAAACTCGCACTTCTGACAGATCACAGGCACCAGGGTATGCAGGGGGACCAATGGATTTACTCGAACCACGGCCTTCTGACTGTGGTGATAGTTCACTACCAAACGCACCGTTTTCTACGTGTTAAGAGAAAGAGAAACAGACATGTGAATAATGAGAGAGGTTCGTTAAGAGACTAATTATGTATTAAAGGGATAGTTTAGCAAAGAAAAAAAAAATCTGTCATCATTTACTCACCCTCATGTCATACCAAACCGGCATCACTTTCTATTTTCTGAATGTTTTGATTTGTTTGTTCGTTTGTTGACCATAAAATGGCAGTTAATGGTCAAGCAAAACTGTTTGGACACCATATTTTTCAAAATATATTTTTATTTTCTTCAGGAGAAAGTAATGCAAAAGGGTTTGGAATGACACGAGGGTTAGTAAATAGTTACAGAATTTTCATTTTTGGGTGAACTATCCATTTAAATAGCTTATATTATAAAAAAGAAACAAGCAATGAGTTGCCTTAAAAGGGAATATTAAAGAAGTTAAATACAACTTTAGCTTTATGCTGTCAATTACCACAGCAATTAAGCTGGAATCGCATTTATAAAAAATAACAGTGCTGTCACAACATAGCAGTGCACGTTGACAACAGCTATGTTGTATTTAATCTAGAAAATTGTTTTAATGGAGGGGAAATTAAGATTCTAAACCAGCATGGTACTTCAAAAACTCTCTTCGTTTTTGCATGGTACATAACATTCAAACAGCATGGTACATAACATTCAAAAACTCTCTTCGATGTAGGTGTAGCAAACTCCTGTGGCTATTATCATTTGCATGATCAAGATAAGATAAGATGCAGCACGGATCTCTGAAGTTTCACATGAGCAGTGGGCTAAATTAGACTCTATATGCACATGTTTGCAGTGCCTTGTAGAGGAAGTGTCACACCAACCTCAATGCTTAGAAAAAATCTTCTTCAGAGATCTGAATTATAGGTTCAATCGAACACCAATAAATCACATTGTGCAAAATGCTAATATTGCTCATAAACATCCAAACAACTTTATCACAGAGGCAGCTAAATTTCATACTAGCTGATAGAAAAAACAAACTGTTAATCAAGGTTAGCACAGGAGACACTTAAAGGAACAGCCATTTCCTGTTCCTTATCATGCAGACAAACAAGAACACACCAGACTGAGGTGTCATGAAACAGTAACCAATACTTATTCTGTTTTGTTGCACATTTTAGTTAGTGTAATTCCGCTTGAACAAAAACTGTTACTTACTTTAACTTTGTCACTCAGACATTAAGCATAATTTTAATCATTCCCGCAGGTCTCGCTCTTATAGTAATGCGGGAACCACCCACAAACATTTATTCACTTCAGCATGTAGGTTGTATGAGTAAATTAATCTAGATTATAAGATCAAATCAGTCATTTTAAAACTTTCTGTGAGGTGTAATTTCACAAACCGCATGAGTGATTCAGAGGTGCTGCGTCTATGGAGTTAATATTGTGCCATAATTAAACAAACAAATCCAGCATTTTGCAAACAAACTCGATCTGCTTTGCAAAGGAAAACTCGACTCGCAAACAAACAGAAAGGAATGTGCACAAGGTCAATTTGAGCGAAAATGCAGTGGAGTAACACATATGAATTGTGTTTAGCAAATATAAATAAATGAGCCTAGATAATATTTCACAAATAAATACAAACCATCCTACAAATTGCATGTAACCTTTGAACAAATACCAAATCTAGTGCATACAAATGCATATCTGTCTGTTATGATTGTGAGACACATGGCTTTTTATGAGATCTCTCCACTCGATTTTCTCACAAATGTGTCGAGGCAGATTTTCTCACAAACGCAGTTGAGCAACTTTCTCTTCTAAAACAGTAGATGGCGCTAAACTAGGGGATTAATTTAGCGCTAGTCTCCCGGGAGAAGCACTGATTTGAAACGTGCTTGCCTTTGCCTACAGCTGAGGAAAATGAGCGAAGAGGTGTGTTTCTGTCTTACTCTATCTATAATTAACCTTTTTGAGGTTTTCTTTTGCAAAATGTTTATTACATATCTAGACAGAAATCCACATAGAAATCCACATTAGCACTTAGTAGCACTTCACTCTCTCTAGGTTAGGGGAATCTATGAGCTGAAAGCTCTGCCATCATATGTTGCTTTTTTTAATTTTTTATACATCGGACACGTGCGAAATGACTAAATTAGTGATTATGTATACACTGAACGAGTCTATTTCTTTCATTCTCCAAAAATTAATGAGAACATTTAATTTAATTGAAAGGAGGGTTTCATTTGTCTGTCCAAAATAATAATTTGGGCACTGCATACGTTACAGGCAAGTTAAGAAACAATTGTATATTGTTTGTTTTGTTATTTTGTTTTGTTTGTTATCAATCATTATTTTATTACATTAACAGTTAAGCTGACTGAATTCCAACTAAATAAATAAATAAGTGGGACCCTCCTTTCAATTAAATGAAATGTTCTCATTAATTTATGGAGAACGAAAGAAATAGACTCGTTCAGTAAATGTAACGTTTTTACAAAAATCGGAAAAAGCAACATATGGGGCCCTATTTTAACGATCTGAAACGCAAGTATCAAGCGCGAAGCGACAGTAACTTTGTGGGTGGGTCTTGGGCGCTGTTGCTATTTTACCGGCGGGATAAATGACTCTTGCGCCCGACGCAAGTTTAAAAGGGGTTGGTCTGAAATAGCTTCATTATTCATAGGTGTGGTTTGGGTGTAACGTGAAATAAACCAATCAGAGCGTCATCCAACATACCCTTTAAGAGCAGGTGCGGATTGCTATTATAATGGCGGATTTACCAGGCGCGCGCCAGGAGCGGTTCACAGCCGAGGAGACCGACGTTCTTGTCAGGACCGTGAAAGACAGAGAAGTGACGTTGTATGGGGATGGGAGAAACCCACCCAAATCAGCGTTGGTTAAACAGACGTGGGAGGAAAAAAACTAAAAAAAATTACATCTTCATGGACACCACAATCATTTCCCTCGTGTGTTAATATTTTTCCTTGTTATAATGTATGATTTGCAAAAATAAAAACTGCTGCATCTGTGTTGATGAGAGAGTCAAAGTGTGTGCGCGTTGTGCACCCGCTACATTATGGCCAAGCATGCGCGCTTAAAATAGCATTATGAACAACGCGCAACGCACCACTGACTTTAGACTAGGTTTTTTCTGGTCAGTGGCGGAATTGTTTTCTGGAACTGCAAAATAGCACTAGGGAATGTTTGCGCTGAAACACGCCTCCTTTTTGCGCCGACCCGCCCAGGGAGCGCAAGTTCATTTCCTAGTTTACCGACGTACGTCTGTGGAGGGAAAAGCCCGCTTTGCGCGGGTGCAAAATAGGAATGATACATGTGTCAGTGTACAAAGTCATTTGCGCCGGGTGCAAGATAGGGCCCATGATGACAGAGCTTTCAGCTTAGATTCCCCTATCCTAGAGAGAGTGAAGTGCTACGAAGTGCTAATGTGGATTTCTGTCTAGATATGTAATAACCTTTTTGAGGTTTTCTTTTGCAAAATGTTAATTATAGATAGAGTAAGACAGAACTGCTCAACGCTCATTTTCCACAGCTGTAGGCAAACGCAAGCACGTTTCAAATCAGTGCTTCTCCCGGGAGACTAGTACCGCTAAATTAATCCCCTAGTTTAGCGCCATCTACTGTTATCCACGTGTCTCACAATCATAACAGACAGATATGCATTTGTATGCACTAGATTTGGTATTTTTTCAAAGGTGACATGCAATTTATAGGATGGTTTGTATTTATTTGTGAAATATTATATAGGCTAATTTATTTATATTTGTAAAACACAATACATATTTGTTACTCCACTGCATTTTTCCTCAAATTGACCTTTGTACTTGCACATTGCTTTCTGTTCGTTTGCGAGTCGAGTTTTCCTTTGCAAAGCAGATCGAGTTTGTTTGCAAAATGCTGGATTTGTTTGTTTAATTATGGCACAATATGAACTCCATAAGTATCCTCATAAACAGTCAGTTAGGTCTTAAATAAACGCATGTGTAACAGTATAATGGATGCATACAAAAAATAGCTTTAATTGTATTAATAGCATATGTATTTAATTTATACAGGACTAAAAGACTATCCAGTGTTATTTTACATTTTATTATTTTATTCAGTTTCTGTAGTATTTCTGTACTGAATACTAAACCTACTCAAAAAACGTTTCTCTTTGTTTCTCTTTATTTTATTTTTACTTTGTGTTGTGTAAACTCTTTAGCAACAAAGTTACCCCATTGTAAAAACACAAATTTAGGTGAGATAAATGTAATAAAAAATGAAACTTTTAGTTCTGTTTCACTTAATGTTCAAACTAAAACCTAAAGATACAAAACATAAAAAAAAAAAAAAGCTTTTATGATGTTTCCAGCTGGGCTATATGCGCTCGTTGTATGTGTGTACATTTACTGGTATTTTTTCCAGCACCAGGAATTCCTTTTTTACACACACAAATGAAAATCTGCTGCAAGGATATGGCGGTTCCGATGCCTGTATCAAACTGTACTGGGCAACATACTGTATCTCATGCTTAAGCATTCTCTGTCCTTTTTAGGGTCGCACACATCTTGTTGTTGGTCTGTTTAGGTTTCTATGGGCTGTGTTGAATTCATATTTCAGTTGAATGACACCAGAGTTTGTTTGGAAGCGGAACAAGGTTCAGATGGAAGTGTTCACTTCACACTTTTTCAAATGAACCACACCAGAGTTCTTTTTAAGCTACCAAACCTACCAAATGTGAACACACCCTAAAACTCTTTCAAAAAAAAAAAAAAAAAAAAAAAAAAAAAAAATTATATACAGTATATAATAAATTGAATTAATTTAAATGTGATTTTAATGATAATGTTAAAGGTTTAATGTTGTTTTAACTTTGCAATATAGAGGTTAAGCTTTGACTGAGAAAGGGGTTTAGTGTGATGAGCCAGTTTAACACTTATAACAGCCTGCTCACTTTGTCAACTTACTTTAAAAAAAATAAAGGGTAGACCATCCTGACCCATCTCTACTATAGTCAAATATATCTGAGCTGGCCATGTGGTCTGTTTGTTATCCTTACAAACACTAAAAAGAAATAGTGTTACCATTCCATTTCTATAAGCATCTATACTTATGTATTGTGTCTACTGTTTGTACTGTTGATCTAGCAGAATCAGAGGACAGAGCCTCTAACTCTGCCCAGAGGTCAGCCACGAGAGAGAGAGAGCAAGAGAGAGCCCAGTCAGCCCGGCTGAGAAAGAAATAATGCATGGTAACTAAAGGTAAGACTCTCATCAAATATTCACACATTAGGGGGAGGAGAAATGGACACTCGAGAAAGAGAGAGAGAACGCACACTCAGAGCAGATTCTGTGAAAGACTCACTGTACCTTTGCTCGAACTCTTTTTATGATAACACGACCCTCCTGATGCATTTAGTCAGAACAAGATGTCACCATTTAACATCATTAATACAAGAATACAATTTTTACAGTAAAATAGCTATTTAAAAGACAAACACAATGTATGAATATGTGTAGCAGAAAATCAGCATGGACTTTAAAAAAAAATGTATTTATATTTAAATCTTTTCAGTATTTGTAATCATATTGTCCGTTTTTTTTAGTTCACTTAAATAGTCTTGTGGTGCAAATATTCAAAGTATTTGTTAATTTAAAAGGAGATCATAAAAACCGCATGCATAATAACTATACAAGAATTATAAAATGTTTAATACAGTTTTAGGTTAAGCATTTCATGTGACACTGTAGTCCGTGCTGTTGAGCACTTGGGGTCTTATTGACCCTAAAAAGTATTGCAATGAAGACAACACTTGCTTGTACAATGAGACAATTCAATATGGCTGATGCAATTGAATGAGAAGTAGAGTGTAGTGTGACATATGCCCACCACTGACAGGCAAACCAAATTATTTTACAAAGTTTGTCTACAGGAGTGATGTCTTGTCAGTAGTAGTGCATCCAGTTTAGGAAACATGTTATCACAGTTGCTGCTGCCTGTCTATAATTTAAAGATCTTCAAAAGTTCAGACATTATCACCATGCGGCTTGAGGTCAGAAACCTCCATAACACTCTGTTTCAGAAACTCACCTCTGGCACTTTGGGTGGAGGTTTCCGGATCACCTTGTCCTCCAGCACTCGTTCTTTGATCAAGGCGCAGGAGACATCCAGAGCGCCCAGCAGGGTGTTGGGCTTGAAATTGATGTGCTGAGCATCGGATGACAGCAGCTCCAGAGTGTGATATGCTGGATTCAGATGGTACTGACTGCATAGATCCACCAACAAATCCATAAGAGCTTTTCTGAAGAGACAAGAGGAGACATAAGGACAGAGAAAGATAGAGTTACTTGATGGTTAATACTTGTAATTACATCATGTGATGCAGACAGGCCTGTGATAGGATGATGGAGAGAGAGAGGGAGAGAGAGAGAGTCAGCTTGAATTACAGGTGTTACGCAAAGCAGCAAATTGCTACATGAATGCTTGTATTAAATGTTTGGCTTCACTAACCAATTGTCAGAAATCCAACCCGCATCTACCAAAAATTGCTATCAAGGCATTGTTAAAGGTTTTGGGAAAAGTTCTCAGGCATTGGAAACGTTTTTAAACATTCCACTCTCATCCGCGCTTTTTTGGAATTGCACTCTCACGCTAATCTGCCCTGTTTAGTAAATAAACTAGTACAAAATGGTCATGTCTCTCTTAAACACAAAAGTAAAAAGTTTATATCTATTCCTTAAGGCCCGTACACACCGGGACGAATATCGGCTCGCGTTATTCGTCAGCGTTTTTCAACGCGTTTTTTGTGTTCACACCCGAGCGATTTTCGCTGACGATGAGCCGAGTGAACACGCAAATTCATTCCCTGACATTAGATGGCGGTTAATGTAAAACAGAAATACCCCGGTCCACAAAGTGGCGCTGCGCAACTACGCTTCTGACACTCGCTTGTCACTTAGAAGAAGAGAGCAAGTTTGTCGCGTTTGTCATATAGTTCTTTATTGTCGTTGGTGTCTCTTTGTAAAGACATCAACAAGACCAGCAGCTCTACATTCATCTAGCCTTGCATCTTCCTCGTCTTACTTCTTCCCGGCAGAGTGTAGACGCTGTATATCTTCTTCGCCATTACGTATGTGTGCTCGGCAAGACCGTTTTGTGTTTGAGCGCCCCCAAGTTGTGTTTTACTGTAACTTCAGAAGCTCCAGACACGTGAGCAAAAGCGCCAATCTCATTGGTCGGATAGTTTTTGACGCGGCGCGTCAAACCAAAAAAACGAACCCGAGGCGTTTTTAAAAAAATGACGCCTTTACGCGTGGCGTTTTACGCGTCGGTGTGCACACTCACATTGGCGACCATTGTTTAGTCACGAGGCGTTAAACGTCGGCGAATATCACACGCGAAATTCGTCCCGGTGTGAACAGGCCTTTACAGCGACATTCATATTGACGAGAGCTGTGAAAAAGGAGGGAAATAAATATAAATAAATAAAAATTAAAATTAAAATTATTATTTAATAAATAAATAAACTACTCAGAAAAGTAGTTCATAGCACTTTTCTGCTACAGTCCAAGTCTTCTAAATTTATACCAAAAGATCATTATTCACTCTCAAAACACAATGCAGGCACCTTGTAGAGTTTTTCTCAAATCAAATATGTAACATTTGGTCACAAGACAATTGAGAACCAAATGACATTTGATGTTATTTGATGTGATCCACACTGTGGCTTTAATTGGAGAGCTGCGTAAAGATTCTTAAAAAAAGATTGTATCTACTGTGTTTTGCACAACATAACATTTCTGTGCTCTGAAACCCGCAACCACATTAGCTATCCTAAAAAATAGTTTTTAGTCTTGATTTAAGATAAAGAAGCAAATGTTATTGATACCCCTAATTATATTGCTTAATTACTAATGTTATGATACCACAGATTTTTTTGGTAATCTGACACACTTTTTAAACGAAACTTTCACTAACAATTTAGGAGATTTTAGTCTCTCTCCATTCAAGCTGTAGCTGCTTAACTATAAAACAGCTGCTTGTAAGAATTTTACCAATATGGCCACTGAGAAGACTGACTTTAAACCATTAAACTACCTTTACTTTACATGTCCAAATTTGCACACAAAGTCCAATATGTTGCAATATAATCATTATGTTGCTCAGATTTGCTGAATGATTCATCTGACTATAAATCTCTATTCTTATGACACTTACTCATCAACATGGAAATGTTTTACCACATAGTAAACAATGATGTACCCATCCTCCTTTCATTACCATTATTACTTTTTTTATTATTCTACTTTAAAAAAAAAAGATTTCACAATGACTGAAATTCAGTAGCAACTGAACAAGTAATAAATAAACATTCCAAAAGAAGCCACTTTCAAGTCTCTATGATATTTTGGTCCTTTCATATTCTCTCAATGCACACTACCATTTAAACGTTTGGGGGGTCAGTAAGATTTTCTCTGTTTTTAAAAGAAGATCCTTATGTTCACCAGCAGAATCTTCACAGCAGTAGAGTTAGCCACAAAATACCCCAGAAGGCATTATTAACACTCTGGGGACCAAGGGTTTTTTGAGGCCCTTGGGATGTTTTGACATGCACTGACATTTGTGCTTTTTTCAGTTATTTATAAACATGTTAATGGCAACGGTGTAAATTCACTCTATATAGCACAAACGGGGCTACCATAATATTTGAGCAACATGTATGTACATGTTTGTATTTTTGAGAGAATATTATTTATGCATGGTTATTGAAAAACTTAAAAATAAAAGTTTCTGAAATAAGGCCACAAAACACATATTGATTATTTCTTCACAAGACTTTTGAAAATTGTATCACATAGCCTAGAATATTTGCTCCAAAACTATGTGAGAATCATCCTGACTACTCATTCAGATAAGTCAATAAAGTCTTTTATAATGTGTATGACGTGTTTAGTGTGAGAAAGCTTTATACGGGGAGGCGTGATCTCTCATTAATATGTATGGCATTTCACACCTGAGAAAGACAAAGACCCTCCTATAATGGCCCTATTAGGTGCTATCAGGCCCTTATGAGGAGCCTTGCACAAAGAATGAGGAGATTTAAAAAAGAATGGCTTTTAGATTGTTTGGATTTATGTACAACACAACATAATCCAAAGATACACAACAAAAGACTGGTTTCTGGTTAAAATTGCTTTTTAATTATATATACACTACCGTTCAAAAGTTTGGGGTCGGTACGATTTTAAATACTTTTAAAAGAATTCTCTTCTGCTAACCATGGCTGCGCTTATTTGATTAAAAATACAACAAAAATCGGTTATAGTATTAAATATTATTCCAGTGTAAATCAGCTGTTTTCTGTGGGAATATATAGTAAAGTGTAATTTATTCCTGTGATCAAAGCTGAATTTTCAGCATCACCAGTGTCAGTGTCTTCAGTGTCAAATGATCCTTCACAAATCAGTATAATATGAGGATTTGATGCTCAAGAAACATTTATTATTATTATCAATGTTGAAACAGTTGTTGGTCTGTCAGTTGTACAGGTTTTTTTTTTTTTTTTTTAGGATTCTTTGATGAATAGGAAGTTTAAAAGACTTTTGTAACATTATAAATGTCTTTACTGTCACTTTCGATCAAATTAATTATTCCTTGATAAATAAAAGTATTGATTTCTTTCCTCCAAAAAATAAAAATACAATTCTCACTGACCCCAAACTTTTGAACGGTAGTGTATATACACACACACACACTGCTTAGAATAAGTGAAAACACCCATGCTAAAGTTGACTAAGAAGAGGAATAAAAAATCTTAATGCCTTAATTTAAAAAATGAGGAAAACTCTAACCTTTAGGGAAATGAATAATGTCCCTGAATTCTTTGTGAATGAATAATGTATCGCAAATAATTAAATGTTCTTCTTTAAAATACAGGGTGCATACTCTGGACACTTCTATCACACACCCTTCACCATATAGACATGGTTTTATTTCAGTTCAAAGTTAGAGTTGGAAACATCTTGAAAAGAAAATAGTCTTTTTCCATAAATGTCTTAGTTTGATCATACATATTTCAAAGTTGAGGATTCATTATTTTGACATAGCTTGCATTGGAACAAACATCTTAGTTGATTAGTTTATTGACAAAACATAAGCTTATTTGATGTCTTTATCTTGAAGCTTATTTGATGCTTATTTGATTTGAAAAACTTTATCCAAAACTAGTCAAAGAAATGTTCTTTTGTTTCGTCTGTAACAGTGCGTATCTGTGCGTTCATTCATTCACACACACACACACACACACACACAGAGAGAAACATAATTCACATTTAAACAGTAGGATATGCTATTTTTCCGTTTACAGACACTAACGTTATTCTATATCGCGATTAGAACAAAGCACAAAACACTTACACTTCTCAGCTGAATCTGTTGCTCCTCCTCGAAGTGAAAATAAACCAGCCCTTCTGTGGTAAATGTCCCAGGATTATTCCTCATAGCCGCGCAAGACGAATCTTAATCTGACTAAAAAATATTGTGTGTTTACAGCATTTGCCTGGGGGCGTTTATCTATTTTGCAAATGGCCTCAACACATTATCTTATGAATAGCGCGCTCTGCGAGTGGGTGTGAACAAATTAACGATGATGAGCTGAGAAAGGAGAAACTCTACTTCTCTTTAGTTTCAGACAGATTATATTGCAGGAGAATATTTGTTTTTAATGTGAATTGTTTTATTTAAAAGTAGAAATTTAAAGCGTTCTTTAGACGTATGTTTCATGTTTGTGTGATAAGTATTAGCGGAGTTTCCGTTCATTTTCCAGACATGTTTCAGAAATATTTTTGCGGAGACAGAGTGAGCTGAAAGCGCACCCTGTTTATTTTATTTATTTAAAAAAAACACAAGGTTTTGATGTTAATGTGAGTGTACACAAAAAAAGAAGACCCTCTATAGTTTATAATCATGTATTGATTTTATTTATATGACCATAAATGACGGAGTATTTTAAGTCTATGTTGCTGCTATGTGAAAAAAAAAACAGCAAAACGCGCGGGCGCGTTCTTGGTCCCCAGAGGGTTAACAGAGTTGTGGAAACCACTGTCTTTTGTGAACACACCCTGTATATATATTTTTTTAAAGTAAAATTTCCTCCTATTTTACTGGTCTATTGTTTTGTCTTTAAAGAATCAATGTGCTATCAAATGCAAGTCATACTCTCAGTATGTTTAATTAAATCAAGGGTAAAATGTCCATAATGATACAGTCAAAGACAAGAGTGAGGGATTTACACTCAAAGCACAGGTAGCTTAGTAAAAGTACAGCCAAGTGCAACAAAACGAAAACGAAAATCACTTGACAAGTGCAAGACAACAGTAAAAATTAGAGCCCGACCGATATATCGGCGGGCCGATATTATCGGCCGATTTTAGCCATTTTCCTAACTATCGGTATCGGCATTTATAATGGCCGATAAATGAATATTTAAAAAAATGCGGGTGCGGTGATTCATGTAAGGGTGGCGCTGCCAATAAAGCACCTAAAAGCTGTCACAAGAACTGGCAAAAGTAATGATTATGAATACAACAAATATAGCAAGGAGACATTTTAATTGTTTATTAATAAACAAGTGTTTTCAGTCAGTGTCAGCGAAAGATGAAGTTGACGATGCTGACTCGCGATCTTCAGTGAACGCGCGCCAGAGAGAAATGCACATTTCAAACGATTACATGAGTCTGTCTGTCTTTCGTTTTGAATTGTTCTGTTTAAAAGTAGACATTTCAATATAGATATATTTCAATTCTCAGGTCTATACGCTGAGTTTCGGTTCATGAGATGAGCTCCAGTTCACCCGCAGGCGCCTCCGTGTCGAGATTATCTATCGTCTGCTATATTTACTTCTTATAAATTAAATCCAGGCAAATGGTTGATGAAACATTGATTAAAATTAAGATACAATTAATACAAAACGAAATTCACTTTGAAACGAAAGGTTTTGTGCTTTCTGTTTGATGTCTATGTGAAAGTTTCAAAGCATATTTTAGTGCCGCTTTCAGAGCGCTCACGTCCGTAGTGCTGAACTGTCGCGTCTGTAACATTGTTTTTTCCTCATAAATGCGAACACGAAAAATAAAATAAAATGAATATTTTATGTAGCCTGTGGAGACTGAGAGCCAACCCTTCTTCATCCGGTGGGTAGTAGCCTACTTGTGATTTGCGCAGTGTAATTCACAGAATTGATTTCTCTGCTACAAGCCTCTGTCACGTATTGTGTGAGCTTGTGACTATTGCAAGCGCGCAGCTGAGAAGTCCTGATTATATCGTCTGCTATATTTAGGCCTAGTATACTTCTTATTTATTAAGGCAATTGGTTGATGAAACATTGATTAAAATGCGTGGCGCGAGCGATCTCCGACAGTAAACTGATTCTGCTTTGTCTAGGGTAAACAGCTGTTGCAACGTGAGCAATAACGGCCGCGTCCGGTGTAGACACAGTGTTAAAGCTCATTCTGCCTGATAACGCTACGTTACAACATCAAGCAATATTCCAAAAATGTATATAATTATAACACTTTATATAGGGCCATTTTGCATTAAGAGTAGCCTAGTTTCACGTTTAGTAGCCTACATTTTGCTTACTAATTATTTAAAATAGTATAAAAGTACTGTACATATGTAATTAAAAACGTTTTCATTATGATATAGGCCTAGTATACTTCTTATTTATTAAGGCAATTGGTTGATGAAACATTAATTAAAATGCGTGGCGCGAGCGATCTCCGACAGTAAACTGATTCTGCTTTGTCTAGGGTAAACAGCTGTTGCAACGTGAGCATTAACGGCCGCGTCCGGTGTAGACACAGTGTTAAAGCTCATTCTGCCTGATAACGCTACGTTACAACATCAAGCAATATTCCAAAAATGTATATAATTATAACACTTTATATAGGGCCATTTTGCATTAAGAGTAGCCTAGTTTCACGTTTAGTAGCCTACATTTTGCTTACTAATTATTTAAAATAGTATAAAAGTACTGTACATATGTAATTAAAAACGTTTTCATTATGATATTATTAATTTTACTTTAGTAAAAAGATCTGAGTTCTTCCTCCACTGGTAGAGATTAGAGGAATTAAGAGTAAAAATAGAAGATAATAAGGTTTTGTCAGTGACACTTTTTATTTATTTATTGATACAAGTTATGACTAAATTAAAAGACAAAGTCGTTAGTGAAGATTATGCAACAGTATTTAGAATATAATATAATATAACATGCAATGCAAACTAGTTTGGTTACAGCTCAGCTGTATAATTCTCATTCTATCATTCCCCCTGCCTCCATTACATATCTGTGTCACAAGTGTTTGATTACCACATTTGAGTGATCATTGCAAAACGTGTTTATAAAATATATTTATTCTGTTTATAGCTACTGTGTAAAGTACCCATCAAAAGTTTGTACACACCAATAGGAAAGTGTCCAAACTTTTGACTGGTATACTGTACTATAATACACATAAATAATATTGCTACTGTATTATAATATACACATAAATAATATCGGCCGATATATCGGTATCGGGCTTTTTTTACTCCGCATATCGGTCGGGCTCTAGTAAAAATCTTTTTAAATTAAATTAAATTATTAAGGGATGTTAACACGGGAGGCTAACAGCACAACAGAATGGAATAAATGATAAATGATTGTATTTATTTATTTTTATTATTTTAAAATATGATTACCCTAATTGTTTAGATTTTTAGACATTCCATTAGCATACATTAGCTTCTTTTCAATCCACCGGCTGAATGAAAATGCTGTTTCACTCTCTTACAGTAGGTTGCACTTATAGAACAGAAATATAGTGGTTAACCTGGTAACCCCAGTATACAACCCAGCTGAAACTTACAAGAAATGCGATAAGTTTGCAGGTATAATATAAACACCATAGATAAACATTGTCATAATTCATCAACAGTATATAAGCAATAGTTTGGCATAAATGTCTGGTATGCATTAAATGTGAACTGCTCTGAATGGACAAGCCTGTAGAATGAGCAACAATGCAACGCTCACAATTAAATCATCACCTTGTGAAGTTTATTATTCACATTAATCCAGATTCTGATTCATGGTATTTACAACCTCTTAATATGATAATTAAGACTTTTCTTGGATCATTTAAGATTATTTAGGACTTTCTTATCTTTCAATTCCAGAGCTTTGTTTCACCAAGTAATTAAATTATATCAACAAAGTTCGAGAGGAGCACGTTCAGATAGTTATCCTATTTAACACAGGAAGAGCTCATTCAGATAATCAACTAATTTAGCATCAGGAGGTATATATACAGCAGACTATTACTCCATTTAAGTATATGCAAGTGTGAACTCATGAAGTATAGGAGAGCAGTGATAATTATAACACTTTTAGTTTTTTGTCCATTTATTCAGAAAATGTTTCAGCCAAAGTGGCAAATGGACATCTTTGGTTCTTGTATCATGTTTATAAATATGCATTAAAATACATATTAAAAATTAAGTTAAAAATACAGTGTAAAAACCCATCTCACAATGTGTTGTTCCTTTCCATCACCTGGTCACTGTGAAGGTCACTGTGTACAATGTTAGTGTACACTTCCTGTCCTAACTCTATTTAGTCAACCGTACCACCATCAAGCTACCAACTAATTCTAAAAATAAAATGTTTTGATTAAATGTTTAGGCTAAGGTCAGCGCAATGAACATATTCACCTGCCATCCACATTGACAGTGGTCTGGTACCCTGAAGGCAGACTGATATGGAGATCCACAGAGGGTTGAAGCATGTTTTCCTTGCTGTCTCCCCCTGAAGATCCTCCTCCGTCAGGAACTGCATTTCGGAAGATCCTGCGGGGGGCAGGCTGGGGAGGTCGAGGTGGAGGGGGGGCCTTGGCCTTCATTCTCCTCCTGTCGAATAAATTCAGAAGAGCAATGAGTAAGGATTAGGTTTGATGATTAAGTGGTGCAAATATCAAGTTTTGCAATGAAGGTTAATTCTAAGCTCAGACACTCCTAAATAACCAATACCACAAAAATTGCCCAATTTGTATTGTATTTACAAAAAAAAAAAAAGTGCTTGTGGAAAAACCAATAACCTAAAAATCTAACCTCACCCAAAAGAAAATAGCAACAGTGACTGTGTATGCAGTTTTATGAGAAAGGTTATGGAGATGCATATGCTGGAAAACATAAAAGCAGGGGGATGTTTTGCTATTTAATTAAAAAAAGTGATGGAAGAAGCCCTGCTGTGTGTCAGTCAGTTTAACAACACCAGCAGGTTATTTTGGAATTAACAGGGTGTTGTGCAGGGCTCCTGCCAAGCTGCAATATTTGACACCTTGAGAGTGAGAATGTGTTGTATCATAACACTAGTTCTGGCATTCATTTGATTGCATGTTTGGTTAAGTGGCATATCAATTACCCAAACAAGAAAAAAATCACTTAAAGGTGCAGTAAGCGATTTTTTAAAAACGCTGTTGAAAGTGCATTGGACCGAGCACCACAACACACTTGTAGACAATCAGCAGTAGGGGGCGTGTCCACTCACAATGGGAGAGGAGAGTGATCTGAGCAAGAGGAAAAATTAGAAGAAAAGAGCGGTGGCTGAGAGAGACATTACAAAAGAGAAAGGCTCAGAGGAATATCACTGGAAAAAGAAGGGGATATGATCAGAGCTTTATGAGGACCCACGTTAATATTAGAAAAGCTTCCCAGCGCTGGAACATTATTTTGCTTCGATTCTGCTATGATAAAAGAGAGGCTCTTGCATTGCGAGTTTGTGCATTTTGGGGGTGGAGCAATGAAGGAAGGGCTGTGTTTATTTGGGTTGATTTCAAATATCAACAGTGTTCAACTCAACTATGATTTTGAAAAATCACACACTGCACCTTTTACTCCCAAAATACTGCTAAAGCAGATTGAACAAGTGGTAAGTGGTACTGATATATCAATAAATCAACAGAAAAATCTATAACTCTGTACTTGAAAGAGAAAGCATTAAAAATGCATTTATAATATTATAATACAAATACAATATCTATAATAATGCCCAATAATAAATTAGTTATAAAGGGTTCCGTTTCTGTTAATGTTAAGTTTCTGTTTATGTTCGCTGATCAATGTTTATATGTGAATACAAGTTGGAATTCATCTAATCTGTTCATCATACAAAAGCGATTCAGAATTTTTTTTTGACTAAAAAGCTCAATTCCTATGGATTAGTTTTACCAACTCTATGAACTTTTTGAGGTGACAAAGTGGTAGTTGCGTGGACTGTCAATGGAGGAACAGAAATCTCTCTGATTCCATTTCAAATATCTTTATTTGTTTTGAAGATGAACGAAAGTCTTCCGGGTTGGGACAACATGGGGTGAGTACTTGTCTTGTAATATTAATCTTTGGGTGAACTAAAGGTGCGTTCCAATTCACGTACTTATGCACAATTCAATGACGCTCTTGAATAGTGCTAGTAGTGTGTTCACACTGAAAATTACAAAAAGAACAAGTGCACTTCAAATACCCGGATGATGCACTAAATTAGTGGAAAAAAACAAAGTGTGGAACGTTGGACACTTCATGCACTCAACTGTCACAGCTTTAATTACGTAATGCAGGGGGAAGGGCTATCACACTGTAGGTTGTTGAACGACAAAATTACCTTCTAAAGTTCATACACTACACAGATAAGTACATAGCGCATAATTATAGTGTATATGTGCATAATGTATAGTGCGTCATTTGGGACACATCTTAATCCTTTAATGTATCTTACATTAGTTAATATATCTCATATAGCATTGTCATTTGATCTCTGTGTCCATGTGAACATTCAACAGATGTGTTACTTTCCCAATGCATAAGAAACTATTTCTGTTTCAATTGTATGAGGGTTAGGATTCTCACTGAATATTGTCTATTATGTGTATTGTTTCAATTTTCAGCCACTCTGTTCTCCAGTGGTTGATATTCGCCATTGAAAAATCTACAGTATAATGGTTGACCACCTGTTTGGAAATATACATATATTTCTAAGCATTTGATCAAATAAGCACTGGATCAATGTTTCAAATGGTTTGGAAGTAAAAAGAGACTACTTCTCAAGAACATGCCCAAATTACCTGTAAGATCATGAAGTACTTGTTGTCTTGATGTAATAAACAAGGTAATGTACATTTAAGGAAATATAATCAGTGTTTTGATTATGGTTACAGCGCTTAAGTCGTCATTTTGATAATATGTTATGTGATGTCATATTACAGTAATAAAACATACTAGGCCTATCTTTTTCAAACCTAATTCAAGATAGCTTTGACTGATTAGACTGAAATCCTCCTTTCCATCATAACACAACATAAAAAAAATCTATCTGCTGACATTACATAATAGGGGTGTAACAATATATCGTGTCACAATATATCGCAATACAAAAATGCATCAATATGTTTCGTGGATAGTGACAATATGTATTGTGTATAATTCACCCAAAATTAGTTTTAGTGTCAGTACTACATTAAACTACTATATATAATGTTGAATATAATGTATAATAATGCAATGGGGGATATTTGTGGGTCCTGATAATGCCAAATGTCTTATGTTACCAGTAAACATTTTAAATCTAGCCAGTGACAGAGTGCAAGCATGTTTGTCTAAAATAATTCTGTATTTTCAGCTTCAGGATCATCAATATTTTATTTTATTATTTAATAATATTTTTATTCTGGTGTCTCTATTGTCTTGTGCATTGGGTTATCAGCAACAAGTCTAAGCCTATTCATTTCCACCCCCAATGTAAAACCAAATGTAGCATTTTAACCAAGAGTACATTTTTTGTTAACCTTTTACCATATGTCTTGGAGTATCGTAAGTTCAGTATCATCAGGATATGTATCGAATCGTGACATGAGGGTATCGTTACACCCCTTTTACATAATGAAGTAGAGGACAAGACAGGCAAAAAAACTCTAAGAGGAATACCTTTAAATAATCATCAACCATCTATTCAGAAATCTATAAATACAGACTAGTTGTTCTAACAATTCACAGATTTAACAAAATTGTACATTTATGTAATTCAATAACAGATAAATATTTGCTATATAAATTCCATAGTCACTCAGTAAAACTACTCAGTAATGGTGACTAATGATTGAGTCATTAAACATGACATTTGGGGGTAAAAAAAAAAAAGAATAAACTGAATGGAAAATATTTTAAGTCATAATACTCTCTAAAGAAATAATTTATTATTAATCAGAATCTATAGGGTTTTCTCCAAATGACAACACTTTTGGTCTAATAGCCCAGATGGGCGTCATTTAGTAAAGGGCTCTGATGAGAAGTTTACATAGGTTATTATTGTCATAGTAAGACATTTATAAACAGAGGTCAGATAAGACTTTTACCAATCTAGAGATTTGCACAGTAGTTTGTCAAGATTAAATAAAGACTATTTTATAAAAAATTATTTTACTTATTATTTAAAAAAAACATAAATGATACACCAGTGCTCCACCACATTTTAACAGGATAACAATATTCAGTACTGTAAAAACCAGTTGACATATGATAATGTAATGTATTGAAGCAAACTAACCAACAATTATTTGCTCTATTACACTGCAACTAAGCGACTAAGCAACACAATTCACTGTGATTTTCTCTGTGAAGTTCTTATTAATCATAATGTAAGCACAGACAGTAAAATACAACTATGATCTTGTCTTCTGTCATGACCTTAAAGGGGGAAAATGGTAAACCATTAACACACTTTGAAGTAAAAAGAATTCATACTTCAGTCATACTTCATAGGCCCCAAACATCATACCACAAAACCTCTCTCACTTTCAATGGCACATCGACAGCCAAATATACTGATAACTGATAAGCGCTCTTTTCAGTTCAAGCTAATTCTCTTTCTGCAGTGCAAATATTAGCAGTAGATAAAACCATCCTACTACTGTCAAAGCAGCCGTGATCCAGGAAGTAGTCCGAATCCAGGAAGCTTACAGGAGACTAGCTATTGGAACACGGGAGCGTCTACGGACCTGGAAGACACTTCTGGCCAGCTGAGAGGTGCAGCGCATGTGGGAATGCCAAAAAGCTTGGACCTCGACTCCTCGAGCACGTCCAGTTAATGATTTATAAAGACTTGTGCCAAAATGCCTGCTATCAACACGTTGTTGTGTCATTCACTGATTATGCAATGAACACTGCCCTCTGCCCCGGAACTGTCAATGGAATGACCAAGTACTCCAAAACAGACCAAATGAATGTTAAAACAATGATTTCAATGAGACACAACACAGGAAGTATTCGAATAATTAAGTCTGAATTTTAGTAATTAAGCTTGCTTATCGGCTTGTTATACTACCGGTTATGAGGGACACTATGGTATGATATTTTGGTCACACTTTAGATTAGGGTCCAATTCTCCTTATTAACTAACTAAAACTACGACTTTTGCCTCAATAAACTCCTAATTACTGCTTATTACTAGTTATTAAAGTAGTTTAAGTTTAGTTATTGGGTAGGATTAAGGGATGTAAAATAAGGCCATGCAGAATAAGGCATTAATGTGTGCTTTATAAGTACTAATAAACAGCCAATATCATAGTAATATGCATGCTAATAATAATCAACCAACTAGTTAATAGTGAGAATTGGACACTAAAGTGTTACCGAAATTTTGTATCGGATTAAAGGAGAAACATTACGATTGAAACTTGCTTGACACTTGAACAGTTGCTATATCAACACATTAACGAAGAGAATAAAATGCTCAATATGTCTGTGAATAGTCATTTTTGATGCTCTTGAGGAAATGACAGATATTTTATTGTTGGGTGAACTATCCTTTTAAGGCATTATAATGAAATCTTATTCCATAAAAATGTGTGTTCTATTTA